AAAATGGGAGGAAATACTGTAGAAGAACTGGGGAAAAATCCATCCAAACAGGGAAAATGTGCCAACTTGACTACATAAAAAATATACAGGTTCAATAAAAAATAATAATGAATTTTTTAAATATTGTGAAGCAATTTTGGTACGTGGATTAATCATCAAAGTGCACATTGTGCCTCATAACATCTTTAGGAGAATTCTCACAGTTTGATTCACTGCCAATTTGTACTTCCTAATAATCACAATCATATTATTTATTATTTAAAAGAGGATCTTAATTGTAATGATAAATGAATTTTTTTCAGAGTTTATTTTGTGTTCATTTTGGTGTTGTACAGCACAGTATGTCGTGAAATTACTGTACAAATTCTTGCTCAGTGCTATTCCTAAATCAAACCAGCAGGTGTCCCCATAAACCATACAAAGCATGCAGCACAATGTTCAGTCGACCTGTACAATCTTAATACACTTCTCACCTTTTAACATTGATTGTGACTTTTATTAATGTTTTCTTTGAAAAAGAATGCTATTTTCATGGCAAAATTACCAGAATATCCTTATTTTTGTCCTATGCCATTAACTGATGCGTGAAGCAAGTATGTTAGCATATTGTTACAGGAGTTGCATAGCATTAGTTCAGTAATGAATCACAAAGAGCATTGAAAATTTAGCAATGTGCAGCATGGGAATGTTCAGAAATATGGGGTAAAATAGTTTAGATGGTTTCATGATTCATCTCTGAAAACGAGGAAAAAAAGAACAACAACAAACTTGGAGGTACAATGTGCGTGTGGAGTGGAATCCACAAGTTTTTTTGTGTGCTGTTTGTCACTAATAATAAATAGTAACTACAAAACAGTATAATAATAATAACTCCACAACAGATCAGGTGGAGAAGTCAGTAATCACTTCCCAATCGAATTAAAGAAAAACTTCAGGAAGACAAGATTGTATAAGCTACGAGTGGAATTTAGCTAGGACAGTGGGGTTAACAGCCCTACTCTTTTAAACGGTTTCAAGCTTATCAAGCTCTCTTTTACATATTCAACGAATGGTGCCTCTGTCAACCATACTGTGGCATTAATTTTAGAATTATAGTCCGGTGGAAAGAGTGGAATGACCTACTGGTCCACAACCACTAGCAGGAAAAAGATGGTTTTCCTTGGAGGATTCCCATCCCAGTACTGACCAGACCCAACCATTCCTAAGCTTTGAGATCAATATACTGTACATAGTGGTTATGCTTCGGCCTTAAGTATAGCTATGATTATAATAACAATAAGTAGAATATTTTAATAAATTGGGGTTCACAAAAATTGAGAATTACTGAAATTAGAATGAGTGGGATAATCAGCAATTAAAATAATCATAACCCCCCACGTTGTAAAAGATATGCCAAGAATATAGAGTCTACTTTTTCTCTACATTTGAGGAAGAATTTGCACCAGCATCATTTACCATGCAAAATAGTGCTTTATATAACTTCCAACACTTTTCTTTTAAAGATACATCAGTTCTTAAAATAGATGAAGTTTAGAAATAAATACAGATATTTGCCATTGTAACTTAAACATCATGTGTGATACATCAGTGTTGAACTTTGTGATTTAAGAAAATCTGTAGAGGCCGTTAATCTATTGATATCACTGTAGCACCGTTTTTAATACCATGTGAATATGAAGAATACATGCAGACTCCACATAGAAGGCAGCCCAGGCCAGAACTGAATTAAGGACCCAAGAGTTATGAGACAGCAGCACTAACCATTATATCACCTGAAACTGTACAAATTTCTAATAATAATTACACTTTCATTGAATAAATAAGTATACTAATTATGAAAGAGATACCTCATTAATCAATTATAGCAATTAAACAAGTAAGATGGAAACATAATTAATAATACATGTAATTTAAACATTTCTGTGTTGAAATTCATGAAAATGTCAAGTAGGCTATACAGTTTTCTTTTCATAAAACAAGCTCAGTCCAAGATTAATGTTAATTTTGAAGTATGAAACAAGACCTCAAGGTGGTACGGTATGCATGGGGTCTGCAAATAATTCAGAATTTCACTTAAGTATAGAAACCTGTCTAGAATGCACTCCATTGTTCCTGTAATTTCAAGTAGCTGTTTCATTTGAGTAAAAGCCACATACTGCAAGAAAAGTAAAAAAGCACAATTATTGTCTCGTGGTTTTGATATACTACTGAAGTAGAATATTTAAAATTTTGAGAAAAGATCATGTATAGACAAAACTGGTAAAATCTATAAGTCATGGATTTTCCTGGTGGGCATTCAGTTTCACAAAATACTGTGTAAAATCATGGGTCAGCTTCAGATTCCTTTACATGTTTAGAACATAGTTTAGAACAAATCAAGTTGAAATTTGTTTTATAATATATATCACCAAATGTTATCCTGGAAAGGTTTATGGCTGTTTTATATACACATTTTATCTATTTTATAAATATATATGTCGATAATTATCATAAAATGACTGTCAATTAAATATCCTTGTACAGTATAGAATCAATTACCACATTTAGATATGCAAATGCACTTTTTCCAGTATTTTAATGTGTTTCTTTTCATTTTTAATGGTCCTCACATGCTTTTTTGTCTAGACTTTAAGTACTGTTTTCCTAAGCATTTTCATCTTCATATGTAAATATTACCTGTGATAGGCTGGTGTCCCGTTTAGGGTGCACCCTGCCTTGTGCCCCTTGCTTGCTAGGATAAGCTCCAACTCCCCTGCAAACTTGAATTGGAAGTAGCCATTAGAAAATGGATGGATGTTAATATCAATTAAGTAATTCTGCATTTTATCCAGAGTTTTTCTAGCATAAATAACAAGTGCCATAATGTAAGACACTAGATAAACATAAGAGGGTATTGAATTGAATTGCATATTGTTTAATACCAGTTAATTTCCAGTTAATTAAAAGGACTAATTGTAACAGGGACTTGCAGTGTAAAGGAATGGAATACCAAAGTTGCCCATCACTGTTTTGCAAACTGAGAATATTCATTTTCACTATAATCTGCCCTTAAAAGCCATTTACAATCAGTAATACAATTGTTGTGCATGCTGTAGCCAATCTAAAGCAATCACCCTTACCCAGACATTTCAGCAAAGGAATGAGTGCTTAATATCAGGTATATACAGTATGAAGATAATTTGTCAACTCTTATGCACAAACCTCTCTCCACATACTGTAGTAGAAATAAAATAGTTAAAACTGTGAAACATCTAGAGAAAGTTTTGCATTCTCTTTATAAAACTTGAATGGGAAGAACTGAAAGGTAATGCATATAATAGTAATAGTAATTATAAAGAATGTAATCCTTTATAGGACTACAGTTCACTTACTGTATTACTTTGCTTTTGCAAAATGAAATGTATAGATAAAATAAAATAATAGATTTGTTTAATTCCTAAAGTAATAATAATCAGCCAAAAATAAACATAAACTTTTCCAACCCTCTTCACCTCTAGCACACCTCTCTTCTTTAAGGGAGTTATATAATCATCAATAAAAAAAATTATCCAAAATTCTATATGCATGGAATGGGATGTCAGAAGTCCTTTATACCTCCAAGGTAGAAATAACTAACAAAGAAATTTCAGGTTAAATAAAACTTTTTTTGTTCTTGTGCTCAAATATATGTTTCTTGTATTTAAAATGAGAAGACATTGCACAATAGATAAATTATTCTTATTCTTCCAATTGAGGAGAATTATCTTCTTACCTGTTGCCAAGGAAAGAAGTAGTAAAGAGGATAGATTAAAAATAAGGTACTGTAACTGATTTCTTAATTCAAAATATAAATGCAATATGTTTGATTTTGCATTCAAGATTTTAGTGTATAAGGTATAAATACTGTCCCTTACTATCAATTAAGAGATTAATATCTGTCACCATACTGTCAGTGGTATTAATTAACTCTTAAATATGTTTTGCTGTGCTGTGCTCAGTAAGCACCGTTTTGAATTTTTGTATCATTGCTGTTACATCGCTTCTGAGAGTGTTACATTTGGCAAACCTGCTACAGCAACTTCTCACACTTTTTATGTATACAGATTTTTGTTTAATAAATTAAAGATTTTCACTTCAAATGTCTACACAGATCTAATCCTGAAAAAGCTATATAACAATAAGACTATTGCATAATGAATAAACCATAATTTGAATGTGAAAATATTTTTTCTTCAGATAGCAAAGAAAAATCATAAAAGAATAATCTGACTTTGATTGTAAGGCTTTTATTTTAAAAGAGAGATGTAATAGGTTGTGCATTTTACATGTTGTGTGAGTGCCATCTGGCCCACTCAGTTTAAGGCCCTCTGCTCTGTGTGAATTGTGTCCGCTTCCATTTTATGTAGAAGGCCTTCTCTGTTTCCTAAGTTTAGTTTACGGTGTGGTATACAGACTCTGGCAGGGAGAGGTAGACCATTATTTCCAGGATAAAAGGCAAATGAGAAACCCCTCAGTCATCTGCATCTCCAGGAGGTAAAATGCATGGAGATGTGAGGCATAGCAGGGTACACAGATGTAAGCTAGAAGCTTGGGTGCATTGGGAGAAATTTATATCACTGTTTTTTTGCCTAAACATTAATGAATTCTGTTTTTCAAGACAAAAGATTCGTGAACATGGGTACGCTGAAAATATAGTTTAAATGCCAGGTTGGTTATTTTCAGCAGGGACACTTGGATGGTTTGACAAACAGAAATTATGTTCAATCCATAATTTTTTTAATTTTGAAGATTTATTACTAAATGTTTAATGTAAAATTTAATGCAGTATTTTTCAGGAAGGAATATGGCCCATTCTATTTTTTTATTACAGTGTACTTTGCTCATGGACTGGACATTAAAGTATCAGTGCATTTTATATGGGCACATACAATGAATAACAGACTGACATCTCCAGTAATGACTGTAATTGATTGCAAAAACAAATATATTAAGGGGCTGATGCATTAGAATTAACCTTTTAGTATGCTTTCTTTTTTCTCTATTCCCAGTTACAGGAATTCACACAAACACAACATCTGCGTAGACATGCTGCGCAAGGGTTATCACAAGTCCTTCTCTGAGCTCTTCGCTCTGATCCAGAAGTGGAATGCCTCTAGGGAGGCTGCAGGGCCTGGGTCAGCCATATGGCAGCAGGAGCCCCTTGAGGAGCAGCTTGATAAGCTGGATCAGCTTCAGCACTTCCTGACCAGGGCTGAGGCAGCCCAGAGAGCAGGTAAACTGGGGAATTCTGGGTACCAGAGCAGCAGGAGCGGCAGCAGCAGGTGCCTGGGGGAAGAATTGGAAATTGTTTCATCTATGAATTTGCCACATTTCTGAAAATTAGCACATAAAAACTTTAACCTGCCGAGTCCCCGTGATATAAAATACTAGTTGAATCTTTACAGTATGTTACTTATTTTATTTTTAAGCAAGCGTCTGTACCTTTGCATTAACGTGGGTTTATTTCTTCTCCATCATTAATAACAGAAATAGAGGTGCTGAGAGGTCATATCTGAGATGTCTTTTGGGAATCCTTTTTTATTTCATATTTATGAGTTATCTGGCCTGTGGTTTATGCATGCAGAACATAAAAAATATGGCAATAGTTGCCTGAACTCTAGACACCTCTGTAAGCAGAAATATATTAAACCTGCTGTAAAAGCAGTGATATTGCGTGTCACTGAGAGCTTTTCTGTTGTGTGACAAATCTAATAACACAGGAAATGATATCCTTTCAGCTGGACTCTGAACTTAATGGTGATTGCAACAGTTGCATTTTTTTATATATTGCAGTTTTGAAGTAATGAGAAAATGTTTTGATCATTTAGAATACTTTAAAAGAATGGATGATAAGAAAGTATGCTGACTTAAAATCCACCGACTGCCCAAAAATTATAGTTTTATATAAATTATTAAACGAAAACTCATATAACTTTAATTTGTATAGAAACTGAGAGCTTGAGATCAGGAAACACAAAATTCTGTATTAGACATTTGTGTCTTAGATTTGTGGTATAAAATTAATAAAAACATCTGTAATTATACTGCTTTTTCTAATACTTTTTTATATTATTCAATTATCTTCTTGGACCATATGTTGTACTTACCCTTATCCTAAATACAGACCCTCTTACATCCTTTGGTTGGAATTGTGAAATTTTCATCTTCACTTCTCATCTTTAGGTAAATATATGCAGTGGTGGTTAATAGTTAGTAATTTCTAGAAAATCAAATAATTCTTTTTTATGTAGAGATTACAGTGTCAGTGATTGTAATATGCAAGTAGTGATTTGTGTTTTGGATTTTTTCTTGCTGTATGCCTGCCACGGTTCTGTTTGAGGATGATGTTGCATTCATAGCAATGGAAGTTTGAGACAGAAGAAATGACATCAAGCTTGGTTTATGGCTTTTAATCTCAATGAATGGCTTAAATATTGCCACAACGATGCCAATCAATCCATGGATTGGTTGCGTGACTGTTTATATTGAAGCAAGTGTAGATTTGTCTGTGAAGTCATGTGCGTCATTTCTAACAACTTATAAAGTGTCTCCCTGTAATACCTGCGGTATGGTTCCCAAAGATTTGTGGAAAGAGGGGAAAGAAGCCGTATTACAACGTTTACATATTCTCCTGATTTTAGTTAAAAGTACAGCTACTTACTGAGCTAATTGTGTAATTTCATGCCTTACATATGCAAGTAATATGCTGAATTTGTATGTAATGAACATATTTTGTCTTTACAATTGTGAAATGAGTAGACATGCAGATCCCAATGTGGATACATTTTAGATGATGATCCAAGTGTACAGATTGTGACTTAAATAAATTCAAGCTTTTATAAATAAAATAATAAAGGAAGGATATCCATTACATGTAAATATGTAATGGTGAATGTTTTGCTTTCATGAGATATTTGCATTTATTTGAAGGGTACAATGCACTATAGGTACTAATTGCCATGATTGTTTTTTTATTTTAAGGTCGTTATGAGGAGGTTTACACAAATCAGGTGTCATTGGCACGCTATTTTGATAATTCAGAAGACAAATGGCTGTCGGATCACTTTTTCGAGTCCAGTCTTCACACTGCCTCCCTAATTAAGATTGATGGTGGCAAAAAAGAAGCCGAAGCCCATTCAAACATGGGTAAAGTCTACATGGAAAAAGGTACAGAAAAACTCAAATATAAATGATTTTGAATCAGATTTTAAAAGTGGGAAATTAAATATCATGCATTTATAAGATTTACTTTGCACAAAACGTTTGCATACTTGTCAAGCTTACAGTAATTCAATATTAAAAATCATGTTTTGCATCATCCTAATTCTACCCCCAATGTAAGGTGAATGTAATCAATGTGTTACATTTGTATAACCATTAAAAATATCAAAAGGTTTTACAATATTCATTTCATTCAAGGAATCTGTCTTTTAAATGAGTAATATACAATTATTGTTTTCTATTAAAAAATCCAATTAAAAATGTAAAAGATAGTCTTGCCTTGGATCACTCTGACTGTACTATAGGACATAGTTTACAGTAAAATTGAAAGATTATGAATTACAATAGAAGTTAGCAAAACAGAAGAACAGCACAAAATGAAGAACTAAATGCAATAATTTTAAAACTCCAAATTATAATATTTGGTCTGTTTTGTATTAATCAGATGGAGATAGTCCAGTTATGGATAAGAGCTATGTCTTTGGCAGATAAGATTCATGTTAGTCCTGCAAGAAATTAAATAATTGATTACACAAAAGTACATAATTCTTCAATTATTGTTTTATAGGCATTTTTCTTAATGTATTACCATTATGCTTGTACAAGGAAAAGTTTGTGTTTTACATAAATAAGTGCAGGCCACAACCAGTAGGACAGCTACAGTAGTAGCTGTACGAATAGAAGCAGCCCGGGAAACAAGAACAATAATAATTAAAGACAGAATGACTGCTTCAAAGTCTAAGGATAATATTTGCTAACCACTAAGAAAAAAGTCCTATTTCATCAAAGGGAGTGAAATTTAGCCAGGACACTAGGGTTAACACTCTTTTTCTTTAGAAAAGTGCTATGAGATATTTAATAACTAAGTAGTTTATCAGCTCATCTGAAGGACAGTAGCTCTTACAAAACAGTGTCCCACAGTCACCATACTGAAGTATTAATTTGGAAATTCTGGGCCAGTGGGAAGTATACCAACTACTAGTCAACTGAGATCACTTAACAATGTGTTTTGTCTTGAAGTCCATAAGAACATAAAAATGGTTAGAAATGATATGGAACCATTTGGTTCCTTTAGATCATCTGAGAGTGGGAACAAATCGTAGGAGATTGTAACTAATTGATTTGTGGATCTCATCCAGTCATTTCTTCAAAGAAGCCGGGGCATCAGCTTTATCAAAATGGCACCAAATTCCACACTCCTACAACCCTTTTTATAAAGATGCACCTCCTATTCCCGATTTTAAATTTCTTCCACATTGCTCCGCTTGTGTACTCTGGTACACTGTTGCTATATACTGTTGCTCTTGACAATCATTGTAATTGTTATCAGATATTTAAGACACACTGTTGTGCACACTTTTTAATGTGTTGGCTTTGGCATAAAATATTATTGTTCCACTTTCAAAAGCATTTATTCATATTACACAGCAGTTTCTAGTTCATTATTTGTGTTTTACTCCCTTTAAAATGCATTATGCATTAATTAATATGCATTAATTTCATACATTTGAGGAAACTTTCATGTCTTTACAACTATCTAAATCTAGGATCTAAAATCTGCATTAGTTCGTTTTAATATCTGTAAGCTCCTTGATTGAGATGGCTGTGATTTCAGTTTGTCAGTTTGTCAGTCTGCAGTCTGCAGTTTAACATGGAGGTGGTCACATGATATGGATATTTAAAACAACTACATTTTTGTTTCATTTTTACACCATGTTAAAAACCAAATGAAGGCGCCTTTAAGGTTATATGTGTTTTTGTATATACTGTATAAGGTACTGAAATATTTAAACCTGAATATTGAAATGAGACAGAAAAATAGTTTGACCTAAATTTAAACTTAAGTCAGAAGGATGAATGACAGGTCTTGAAATGCATGCACTGGCCTTACTGTTCATATGCCCTTAATCCCAGTAAGACAAAGTTGACAGTAGAGACCACAATGCATTGCTCAGTTACAGAATACCAAGAGTATTTCCAGCTGTGACTGCTGGATAGTGGACATATTTCAGTGAGAATCGTTTAAAAAATCCATTGTTTGTCCTTTCTTTTAAGAAAATACAGTATAATAACTTTTCCTGTAATTCAGTAGCATGCATTGAATTCTCTGATCGTTAATTGTATTTGTTTTAGCTACTGCTGTAATCCTGACCACCTGTCCATGCAATATAATGTTGGCAATGCTCTGTAGGAGCGTTTTCTTTTTCATTTGTCTTAAACTGTGTACATGAAAAACCCCATGGTTAACTGTTACACTTATTCAATGCCTGATCTTAAAAATAAGACAAGATGTCAAATACAGTATCTGCTACTGACTAGCTTCTTTCAGATTTCTATGAACATGTGATTGTGTGCATACAGTACATATACAGCACATACAATTATCTACACAATTTAATAGTTGCCAGCAGCCATATTACCCTGCAACTCAACTGACATCCCACTGAAGCTAAGCAGGTACTAGCCTGTCCAGTATCTGGATGGTAAGCCTCCTGGGAAAAACTAAGGTTGTTGCTGGAAGAGGTATTAGAGGATTCACTGGTGGCCACTCACCCTGCAGTCTATGCGGGTCCTAATGTGGCGGGGACACTATATTGTAAAAAGCTGTCGTCTCAGTTGAGACACTGTAAAACCAAAGTCAAGACTTTCTGTGGTCATTAAGGGCATCTCTCGAAAAGAGTAGTGTTACCCCAGTGTCCTGGCCAAATTTCCCATTGGCCTTTACCAACCACGGCCTCCTAATAATCCCCATCTATGAATTGGCTTCATCACTCTGTTCTCCTCCCCACTGATAGCTGATGGCTTCTGTTGCATCATCCAGGTGGATGCTGCACATTGGTGGTGGAGTGGAGTCTTCATTACCTGTAAAGTGCTTTGAGTGGAGGCTCCAGAAAAGTGCTATATAAGTGTAAGGAATTATTATTATTAATTGTATCTCAAAATGTAAGTTTTTGTGATTATTTTCTTTATTTTCTTATAGCTTTTGCATATAACTATATTATTTTAAAATGTTACATGGTTTGATTATCGATAGTTGTACTACCATTCCAACGACATAACTAGATCATACTTAAATTGCTGTATGTGATAAAACAAGGCCACAGATTAATTTACTGAACACTAAGACTTAGTACAGTCCATTCTAGTGATGTCAGATCTAAAAGTGCAAATACTGACATTTAGAGAACCACTGCTAAATTACAATAAAAACTCAATAATGTAAATAATCTTTTTCAATTGATTATATATTGAACTCTGAGCTTTTGATTCTTTTAAATACACATTAACAAAAAGCAAAGTTAAATACACATTAACATTTCAGTGGGCCAGGCAGCCATTGAAACACAGCAACATATAGCGTTCCTTGATGAGCACCCACAAGTATGGATGCAATGCAATTGCATGATTGCTACCAAGGGTAGGGTGGGATTCATAGCTCGAATTAGCATACACTTCTTCCTCTTGTGTGGTTAGCTGTTAGCTGAGCTGTAAAAAATTCCCATTTTGTGGGAGTAGATGTAACACAGGTTGGTTTCACAAAAAAATTGGCAATCCTAAGTATGTAAAAATGCGAGAATGAATCGATTAATAATCTCCACAGAACACAAGAAAAAGATTCAGGAAGCTTTTAAGATATCCATGAACATCATTGGTATAAAAATCGCTTGGTTGCTATTGGTAAAATTGAAAGCAGACTGTAAGATACGTTATCGATGAATAAAATGTTCTGCTTCAACAGTCAGTAAACTAGTGCAGAGAAACCAGCCAGCCAGCCCTGTTTGTTCCAGATGTAATTATTTTCAGTTTGCAGTAGCTACAGCATCAGAAATTTCAGAAATTGCACGACCCACACATCAGTAGAATTACTTCAGCTCACTATTTGCATGATCTAAATCTGTTCATGGGTAGTGTTGGCAGCTGAGAGACAAAACCACATCTTCTGTGGACCAGAGAACACCTGAGGTGGGGGCAGAAAGAGTGATGGTGTGTTTTATTGTTTGATGAATAATGTTCTGACCATGATGAACCTTTAGAAGATATGTGGAGACGTTATGGCGAGCATTATGACTCAACTTTTAATAACTTTTTAAATGGTGGAATTGTGATGATTCTAATAAATTCTAAATTTCTATTGACGTTTTCTGAAGTTAAATTTTTAGTGACCTCTTTTCCTCATTTGTAAATTCACCTATTCGCGTACTGCACAAATGAAGATTAAATGTGGGGACACACTTCTGCAATATTTTCAGCCTGCAGATTTTCTTTGCCCAACCTGCATGTCTCCGTAGTAAAGGTATATCTTGGTTAATGAAGAGTTTACATGTTTATGTGCCAGTGCGTCATGGGCCATTCAGTTCCTTCAAGAAAGAGATAGATGTGCCTTGTGTGTAGACCTGTTACCTGTATGTAACGTAGCGTTGTGCTGTGAAATAAAAGAAATGCTAAATAACCTCCTTACTTTCTTGTCTGTTTTTACTGTGCTGTAATAAACTTTATTTCAGTACAGTAGTGCTGCATTTATAATAGTATAAAAAGTTGATGTAAAAAGTATAGAAAATGTGCTGCACTAAGAATGAAAAAAACAAACTCTAATGGAATCATAACAGTGATCTAATTTATTTGCACATGGAATAACTTGAATTATATGGGGAAAACAGTGCTTTTTTAAGTTTCTAGTACTCAGTTTCATTAAAAGTACTTACTACCAGTTATTACTTACACTACTGTATATCTGAAATAGTTCAGGAGTTATAACAAAAATATTACTATGGAAATGCTTATTTTGTGAGCCGCGGAACCATACCCTATGTTCGCAATTAAGTATTAAGTCCCGTATTCGCTAATTCACCATTCACAGAAACTTCTAGCTTTTACATAAAGCTTAGCCCTTGTGAATACCAAGATTTTACTGTATTGGCGATTTAAGACAGTTTTACTGCCCATGG